GTCATCTGCAGCTATAATAGATATGTGAACATGAATATGCAGCAATTGAGTTTAGGATGGGAATTCCAATTTCTAACTACTGAGTCCATTTTCTAGACCAGGGTTTCTCAACCTTGGCAACTTTAAGATGTGTGGACTTCAACTCCCAGAATTTCCCAGCCAGAATTCTGAGAGTTAAGTCCACACATCTTAAAGTTGCCAAGGTTGAGAAACCCTGGTCTAGAAAATGGACTCAGTAGTTAGAAATTGGAATTCCCATCCTAAACTCAATTGCTGCATATTCATGTTCACATATCTATTATAGCTGCAGATGACATATCAAATAATGCTTAAATTAACTAGGAGGTTACCAACTTTAAGCCAGGAAAGCTGCACATTTAGGATTCCTATTTGTTGTGCACCACGGTAATAGGGAATTTGAAAATATTGTACTAAAGATTTTTTTCTAACTAAGAGGAGCAGTTTTTTATTATCCTTTTTGCAGTTCTTTCTTCAATGTCATAAAAATACGCCACATCGAGGAGCTGGTAACAAAGTACTGAGTACTGGAAAATCAGATGTCACTTACTTGATGATAAACTTCTCTTAATTTTACCTTTTTATTCCAGCTATCAATACCAAACAGACACATTTAAAAAGCTTGTCCCAAGATTAAACAGGCCTCAGAAACAGTACAGAAAATGTGAAAGCGCACATATGAATTATGTATACTACATTAACAGTATATGCAGGCATCTCTGGATATTTCCTGGATCAATCATTAATATGCTTATAAGGTTAGTTCACCGTTTATATAAAAATAAATGGTCTGTTTGAATAGCAAACCAAGACTGAAATTTCCAGTAGTAGCTCCTGGAAAGAGATGAACTCTTTCTTTGTGGACGGCAATGGTCTTTCACAGGACTCATATCACATGGTACAGGGCCTAAGAGAGACAGTACGTGAGCTCTGCCGCATCACAGAACCACTCAGCCTCATCCCACTGGAGGCTGAGAGTTTCTGACATCAGATCAGAGCAGCCCACCCAACACAGCCCCAAACTAAGAGGCCTGGCCATCCCACCTAAGGATCCAGGCTCAAAAGTTATTCCACTGAACAAAAAACTATTCTGTTCTAATTATGGTTGAAGGTTTGAATATCTCCCAGTCAGGGTTCTGTTTCATAAGATTGCCCAGAAAAGCTCAACATTGAAACGAGTGCAAGAAAAAAAGTTCCCAAGATGTCTATCTCCACCCTACCATGGTTAGTTCACTCATATCTAACCTCTGTAGAGATCCATAGTCAAAGGGAACAAGCAAAGAGTTAGCCCAACTTGAAATCTAACACAGACCAAATGCGGGATAGGGCTGCAAGCTTTCTGCTGTAATTCAGAGTTTGGCATCTGGAGCCAAAAGCAACATTACAATTAATTTTATCCACTGAAAATAATCCATTCTATCTTTAAAGAGAAGTTGCAGTCTAGTTCTTTGGGGTGTCATCAGAGAGAGAAATGGGAGATCAATGTTTGGTAGGGAGGAACACAGAAGTCTAAAATCACACCAATTACTATTTACTATTATTCCAAGTAGGGGCTACAACTCAGAATATGAGAAATAGGCCATTTAATGGGCTCCTAGCCAAGGCAAGCTACAAACCATGATCTTGCTAGGACCCACTTTTCAATGAGTTACTTCTAAGTAAACATGCATGCAACTGCTGAGTTAGGCACATTGCTATAATCTTTCACAAAGACCAGAAACTGCTTAAGAAATAATATCTGCAGTTTACTGAAGAATTGCTCTGCTTGCAGTGAAAGGCAAACCTGTTAAGATAGCCTCACAAATGTGCAGACCTGTTGGCCTAGATTCTAAGGTCTCCTTGTTGAAATGGTCGTCCTGTGCTTCTTATGTCAGCTAGAACATGCCTCCCTCCCAAAAAACATTCTGTTCCTTAAGCCCAGGATCACTATGCAGAAATGCATCAAGGAACGCACGGAGGCAAAGGAAATGCTTCACATTTTCTTCTCTGAAAAAACAATTCTATTCCTGTTCTATTCTATTCTAGACTATCGCATTAGACTGATAAAAGTTTTGAAAAGGCAGGCAAGAGACTGAATCTCTTTAAGTCACGTAAACTGTCATTTAAATCAGAAACATCACCTTCTTCATGCTATAAATGAATGTGCCCAGCAACACTTACAAGCTTTATACAGATCTGACAACTACTCTAGCAAAACAAATTTTACATAGTGATCTGACTAGACGGTAATGATCAATTAGCAATATCTATTGATTACTTGGCACTTTCCAAACATGCAAAAGGTACTCATTTAAAACAGCCAGAGATGGTGTCATGTTAATTACAGGCACCCAAGTTCACAACAAGAAAAAGTAAGCCAATCATTTATGGCTGAAAATGTAGGCAAAACTGAAACAGCAACACATATTTACACTAGGAAATGACTGACTCAGCACTCCAGTTATGAGTCTAGCAGATCCCAATTTTATACGAAGCAGGAGTGCAAAAGGATAACATACAATGTTACCTGCTCCTAAATCTGTAATGCATCTTCAGATACAACAGTTGAGCCATTAGACCAGTGTTTCTCAACCTTGGCAGCTTTAAGATGTGTGGACTTCAACTCCCAGAATTCCCCAGCCAGCCTGGCTGGGGGATTCTGGGGGGTGAAGTCCACGTATTTTAAAGTTGCCAGGATTGGGAAACAATGCAGTAGGGTGTTATTAATTCCCCTACTATTAGTCCTTTCATACCAATGCCTTCAAAACGAACTAGCAGTCCAAACACAGCTTCAGAAAAAGGGCCAGGAAAAAACAGCTCTGAATAGGAGGAATCAGATACAAATGACTGGATACCCAACCATTGTGAAAAAAAGGCATGCATTCTGCAGATATCGGGTGATTGACTCCATTTTGTATCTAAACTACATTCACAGCCACAGCTAGGGACTCAGATGTTTCTGGAAAAGCAGGGGGAAAAGAAAAAAAGATGTGGGAGAACTCTAAGGAAAGAATCCACTATGATGCAGCTAACTAAGATGTGCTTGGCCAGAAACATGAGATCCAAATTTGCGACGTGGTTCAGAAGAATTTTCTGGGACAGCTGCATGGAAACCCTGATGACGAGAATGTCTACCTATCCTCCTCCATTTTCCAAAATATGGGTAATAAAAAATATCAGCTGACAAATACTTTTCCCAGGGTAAACATAATGCTTCGCTACAGCTGATTTTACTTTGGAGGGGAAGGGGGTGTTTCCAACAATTGAGAAGGAAACTTTATAAAGTAAATAAAAATTAATAAATACA